CGTGGTGACAAGTGGATGCATGTACACTAAATCATAACAAACAGGTAACAACCAAAATTGCACAGGTGTATGAAACATGAAAAGACAACAAAACTACTTAGCGTTAATCATAAACATATTCCTGTGCGTTTGATCAAAGGGTGCTGTTTGACAAGTTTCATAACTTTCTCTTTGGCACAAGAACAACAAAGGCCCACACCGAGACATAAAGCCATAACTCAATGTAAAGAAACTTCAAAGGGCATCTGAACACCATGTTCTGGTTGTGAACCATAATCGAGTGGGGTGTCCGCAGCAATATTCCAGTACAGCTCCCAGTTTGATTCTAAGGGTGATTACCTCGAGCCTTACAAAACAGACATTTTGCTTGGTTCCATCTTAGACAAGTGATGTAATTTAGGCCAATTTAGATGCAGTCTTTCAGGGGCGAGCATGAACTTGACTGACTTAAAAAAAAAAAAAAAAACAGAAAATTTAGTATGGAAAGGCATATTCCCTGCTCTCTCTCTCATCTCAAATATATGTATATGGAAGAACAGAAGGAGGTTCAGCATGCAAAGCTCAACTCAACATCTGTCTTCTTCAAGCAGGATTTCCACATAGAAAGATGACAAAATATTCATCAAGAGAAGACGGTCCGCACGGAGACTGGCATTTTATGACACAAAAAGATGGGTCTTCTTGCCTCACAATGGCTCTTTGAGAAACTACAAAGGGATAGAAACAATACCTGAAGCCTCAATTAATTCCTAATATATATGTATATGTTTCAGACGACTGAGAAATGAAAAAAATCTTGAATGAGACAGAGAAAATGAGAAAAGGTGAAGATCACAAGTGAACTTTTTTTTTACCGGTTAACCCCCTGACTTTCTCTCCTCGTGATTCGTTTTATAGTCTGTAATCGAAATACCAAATGAAAGTTCAATAAGTAAGAAATACCAGCTGATGTACTGTATTAGATCTTGCTACCTTAAACAAAGATATTCAATTACTGAATGCAACCAAAAAAATAAAAAATAATAATCCCCTTCATACATTTCAAAACTATATCATATTCTTTTAAGTTTTGTTATTGATTCTTTCATTTTAGTTTACTCATTTATTTACAATCATTTTATCTTTTCAAAAAATCTTCGAATCTTTGTCAGAGCACCAAATAAGTGATCTATTCCGTCCGCCTTTTCCTTCCAACATATCTCTATTGGACATAAAGCAGCAAGTGTTAAAACCTTTTTCTCAACACCCCCCCCTGAACCTCCCCCCCCCTCCCCCGCAACAAAACAAAATTCTACTCGGTCATTTTTCTATCTTTAAAAGACATTAAATTCTTTTTTTTTAATTCAATAATTATATTTTCCAAACAACATGCTAGTCTGCACACTATTATAAAGTTGAAAGTCTCTCTCTCTCTCTCCTCAGAGGTAGTCAGGGCAGGTTTTATCAGTCATGTCGTTGCTGTTGTGGACAGGTACAATTTGTCAGCGGGGCTCACCTTGCTGAATGGAGCAGGCGAGAAGGTCAGATACCTATCTGTGTGAGGGGGCAACTTGTGGTGAGACAGCCATGCTACCTCACTGACACCTGGTGAGAGTTAAGTATATTAAATGCTGTTCTCCCCCCCCCTCTCTCTCTCTCTCTCTCTCTCTCTCTCTCTCTCTCAGTATAACACTTCTTTTTCTAAAAGCTTTGTACTTAAACATTCACATTATCACTGGCCTATGAAACAAAACATGACAACATGTTTGTAAACTTGGATCCTGCAACATGAATCTATTCCACCTACAATGTATATAATTCAAGTGCGTATCCATTTCTACCAACATTCTCATTCACTGCTGCACACAGCAATATGTACACAAATCAATCACCAGCTCATACATTGTCTTAGCCATTCCAACTCAGTCTGATTGCAAAAAAAAAATGTTATAAGTTATTAGATTCAATCAGGCTTTTCCTGTCTCTACTTGAGCAGTCATGTTACACAATAACAAATCAGCACTTGAAACTGCTTGAACCCCAAGACATCAGGCCGTACAAATTAATTAATCTCTGCCATTAATCACTTAATCAATTAAGCATTATGGTGGATAATTACACAACGGCTTTCCATAATCACACTCCAGAAGTCGTTAACAACACATTACACTGTGTTCAAGTCAGGGGGGTTAAACGCATGCCTACGGCTATCTACAATGAGGGGCCCATCTGTTCAAAACTGGAGATGGAAAGAAGAAGGGAGGAATGAAAAGAGAGAGAGAGAGTTAGTGGTGAGAGAGGAGAGAGGAGAGGGAGGAATGGTAGATAGGTAATGAAAGATAAGAAACTGAGAGAGGGTGAAGTAGAGACAGAGAGGGGAGGGAGAGACAGATGGGGAGGGGAGCAGAGTTGGAATAAAAACCTGATATTTGTCAGGCAAAAAAAAAAAAAAAAA